GATTCTATAATACAATGGTATGTATTTGTGGTTAAATATTGGCAATTTGCCAACCACAGTCATTAAGCATGCATGTTCAGAATAAAGCAAAATATTCATGTACATGCTTTTGCAAACTTAATTGGCACCAATTCACTAATTGCAAACTATAATTGTCAATTTTCCTTCCATACAGTATGTACTACCATAATATACAGGGTTTCCCAACCACAAGCATGCCATGCTAGCTAACAGCATGCTTCATTTGCTGACACACATTACAATCCAGTATATGGCATTTGAAGTAACTTTAAACATTTAATTTTGATCAAAATCAGCTCTCAAAATTTATATGTAATATACAAGTATAAGTACATGTATACAAACGTATGTACTATGCAGAATTCGCTCCTTTGCATTTTTGACAAAATTTGGCCAAAAACAACTTAAAAGTTATAGCTGTTGGTTGTTGGTCCAATTTTTAAGCAACTTTTTGAATTAAAAAATCAAAATTTGTCTGGAGTCAGTCAAAATTTCTATATAAATGTAGGACATGTACATGTATCAGAGAAAATGATACCGTATAGCGGAAAATTTTCGTGGCCCAAAATTTTCGCGGATTTCGCGTTTTTTTCAAAATCCACGAAAATAAAATCCGCGAAAATTGATTTTATACGGTTTAAGATGGCCGAATTGTAGAAAACCACGAAAATTAAAGCCACGAAATTGATTTTTGGACGGATCCACGAAAATTTTCCGCTATATGGTAAAAAGAGAATTCTCTCCTAGCCATTTTAGATGAAATTTGATAAGACTAAAGAGCCTTTGGTTGTTGGCCAAATTTTGAGCAACTTTAAAATTCAAATTTAAATGGAATCAGTTCAAAGTTGAGGACATGAACATGTACACACACATGTACATGTACATGAGTATAACATTACTACAAAAATGGAGAACTCTCTTCTTGCGATTTTCTACTGAAATACTTTGCACCACAGGGCCTTTGGTCTAATTTTTAAGCACGTTTCTTTAAAAACACAAAATTTTAAATATTTGAAAACTGCACTGTATACGGTAACGGTATACCATATAGCCCCTAAATTTCGAGGGTACAATTTTCACTGTTTTTGTAGATTTTCCGTATTCGCGAAAGTCAATTCCATAAAATTATCCATATCACCCTAAAAACATGTGTACTTTAAACTAAGAACCACAAAAGTTAATTTGTGAAAAAAGACTTGTGGTTTGATTCGCAAAAGTTATTGCCTCAGAACTTTGTGGCTATACGGCAGTTTTTGATGCTTTTGCACACACAAGTTTATCAAACATGACAACTTTCTTCCTATGATCCAAAGTACATGTACTAACACTATTACTGTACGTGACTACTGTACATGCATCACTAACTTGAAGAGTAATGCTGGTCTCGTTATTCCAAAAGTTAACATTATAGACTGCTGTCCAATCAGTATACTCTGGAGTGGATAACGACTTATTGTATGATATTCCCATGATGACACAAGTAGCTCCCTTTAATTGAAGAATAACAATAAATTAAAGCTATTGCTTCAACAAACAAATAAAGCCTCATGACTACCATGCATAATCACATGTACATGTACACATACACATACATGTACATGTAGGTGATACCATCTATTGGGAAATTTTGGAGGGAATTGCCATTCCCTAAAATAAAATCCACCATTTTGAGCTATTATATTCATGCTCAATGGCATGTGGCCACTAATGCACCAAATTAAAATTTGGTAATCACCAAATTTTAAAAATTTAGCAATTTGCCAAATTTAACTCGCTCCAAAATTTTTCGCTATACAGTATACATGCCATGTAAGCTATTGCATTGAGTATATACATGTACATGTAACTGAAAACAGTACATTAGGAGGCTAACTGCTCAAAACTCACTATACAGTACAGGCTATCATGACTACTTTTAGTGTACATAGTGTATGTATCATGCATGTATAGTTTATCTTAGTTTGCATATGCTGTGTTTGTCAACTTGTACGTGTCCAGTGCTGTACTTACGGCAAAGGTCCAGACTGCCATGTAACGCCACAATGCCAGCTTTCCTAAATTAAAAAAAATCAATATTGTTAGTTTGTTACATTATCTTACCAGTTATTATCATTATGAGAAGCTTAGACAGCAAGCTCCTTGCCTATATAATGAAGCACAACAATACTAACAATCACTCAAATAGTAACCAAATCATACAAACACGTACACATGTACATGCAAGAGAATAAGAATAGTCTACTTTAGTGATATAATCAAGCTACATGTAAGCCTATGGTTTTTGAATTCTAAAGCCAGGCATACACCAGGCAACATGTTGCTAGCAATATTTGTGGTTACTTTCATCTTGTAAGCAACATGTTGCTAAAATTAGAAATCAGTTCTATTTTTACAACAAGTTGCTCAAAAGATCAAAGAAACCACAAATGTTGCTAGCAAAATGTTGCCTGGTTTATGGAGGGCTTATGCCCACCATC